ACATTGTCCAAGAAACTAATACTTCAAACTAGTCAAATAAAATATAAAAATAAAATACTCCAAAACTCAAACAATATGTATTCACATCAAATAATGAATAGAAGTATGTATTTAAATACCATTACAGTATAATGAAAACAGCTAAAGAACATCCAAATCAAATGTATAATTCTTCATTATACAATACAAAATATATTCTATAAAACAAATGCAAGTACCATTTCATGTTGTGTATGGCTAGTGTTCCGCTTGATCTAAATACCGGAGTTGTGTCCTCTTTTTGATTTATGAACTCTAAAGTAAATGAATTTCCTATGTTTATGTCATTATGTTTATGTCATTCACCTTAAAAAAGTTTTTTCAATCAATTCCTATAGCTATAGTTCCATCTCTTGATGGTCGAAATCCCCACCACATCGTCTTAGCTTTACCCACAATATTTATCTTGGTAAGCTTGTCAATGTCATCATCTGTCATGTATTTACATCGAAGAATCTACAAAAGATTTTAATAAATACACACCAAATAGTTTAGTGATTAGAAGATAGAAACTAAACCACCTTAGGAAAAGAGTTTGTTTGATCATAAACTTACTAGTTTGCAGCCTCTAACATCTTCACGTGTGAGTGTTAATCCCAAGACTCCATGTTGGTTTTCTAAAGATGAATCCTCTATCCCAAGACTCCATGTTGGTTTTCTAAAGATGAATCCTCTCTGTTCTCTTTGTTGTTCTCATCTTTCTCGCAAGCTTGTGAACGATGCCTTTCTTGCCTTTTATCACATATACAAAATATACTAGATGTATTGAACAACCTAAGTATAGGAGTTGACTCTTTCCAAATAACCTCCATCCTCTCCCCTTTGAAGTCATTTTCTTGCCGCTGCCTCCGCCGTCCCTGTTTTCTGGCGAGATTACTTCATCTCTCACCTCCTGTTTTTTGTAGGAGAAGAACCTTTGTTATCTTTTTAATCGTTGTTCATGTCTTTGGTGAAGCTTTTGCTGGTTGCGTTGAGCTCTTCTGTTCCAAAGCCACCAGATCCGATACGCTTGGTGATTCATCCTTCTTCTCCTCCGGATCCACCAGTCCCACCAGATCCACCAGTCCCACCAGATCCACCATATGCTCTTGACGTTTTGTCTCTGTCGTTCTCAGGCTTGTCTACTTTTCTGGCGACTTCTCCTCTTGTGATAGGTTCCTTCATTGTGGTCGTTCTTGTTCAAGCACAAACTCCACAGTGGAGAGTGTTCACCGAATACTTCTTTGGTTTCACCGGATACTTCTCCGGTCTCTCCTTCTCTACATCTTAAGCATTTCTTGCTTGTTGGCAGGCTAGAGACATCTTTTCTGGTTCGTCTTCTATCCATATAAGGCCAGGATTGCTCACCGGATACTTCTCCGGAGACTCTCTAATGTCGTTTGAGGCGGATCCAGTTAGCCTCCAATCTGGAACCACTTGAATTGGTTCGCTTGTTGCCCAGAGCCAGCAGATTTTGATCACTGGATACATCTCTGGCGTTCTCCTGTCTGTGTCAACCGCTGCTACCTTCTCATTGTTGAGAGGGAGCCCTTCCTTCATTCTTCCCCCTTTGTGGGTGTCTCATTTGAAAATGGTCTTGTTTTAAAGTCACATTGTCTGGTGACTATTTTCCTCCCGGTCGAGGTCTTTGTATTGAATGCTATTGCTTTCATGGGATTGCTTGTGATTGTTAGGTTTGATACTTCTCCTCGGAACCTATCAAGCTTATTCAAGCTTGTGTCTCTACCTTTGGTTTTTGTTTTTTTAATCTTCAACTTTGCTATTCAGGTCTGTCTGAATTTGCTCGTTCCTCTTGTTTCTCGCTAAGTTGAATCAAGAATTTTGTGCACAAAAAAAAAACCAATATCATTGAACTATCAGTTATCCACAAATAGCCTAACTCATCCAAACATGCTTCTAAATTCTAAAACTAACAACCCTAAAAATTGCAGAACAAAACCATAACACACTCAGCGAGCCCCTAGATTAGTATTCTCTCCTCACCTTGATTCCACAGTCACACTTTGCTTTTACATGCATAACAGAAAGAGATGCATAAGTATTTCCAGAAATACTTAGTGAGGTGATCCTCAAATCTACGAGGTATACATACAAGCAATGAGATAACAACCACATGTATCCAATAAACAAACCAACCAACAAGCCAAACATCCAATGACACTTCCAGTACACCTATAAATCATCACAAAACAAGTCACTCAATCCAAATCACTTAGATAAGTTCATGGTCACGCGCTCACCTTCTAGGTGACTCGAACAACAAAAACAAACAGGAAAGACTCTCTCGCGACTGCAACAACCCATAAACACCGTACAACAAGCCACACAAACAAAAATCCCTTTGAACCAAATTGGACATAAACAACTAAAAATTACAGCCATAGAAACGAAGCTATAAAACGAAAACCAACTGTTAACTTTTGAATCCCTTCGGTGGAAAGCACAAACTAGAGGTCACAAAGCGTTTCAAATTATTTTGTGCCAATTAGATATACGATGTAACCACGATCGGACTTACAATCTTCGCTGATCCTTGTTCGCGACATAGAAGAAGTGTTTCACAAAACTGCAGATAACTCATAGAGTTTTAGCCCAAATTAACGTACAAACCTTAAGAAAAACGATACTAAATCTCATTACCTTTTGGATAAGATTTTGTACGTCGTAACCCTTGTCTCCCAATACGTGACAAATCTGCTTCTTTTGCCCTATATACCAAAGCAAAACTTGCTCTCCTTCTCACAAGTGAAGTTCTCCTTCTCCTCTTTTTTAACTCTTTTCTCATAAACAAAACAATGACCATAGCAAGAGAGAGAGAGGAGGCATCGCCTTTATAAAATAGGGTTTTTGGACTTGTTGATGTGTCTGGATTTTACTCATTTTAACACTAGTTTTATGTATTGTTTTTGTCATTCTAGGTCTCATTACTTGATCATGTACGCATATTTGCCTTGTTTTGCTTCACTTGTAGAATCTAGGCCTTGCATTGCATGCATTGTAATGTTTGTGCATAAACATGTGTTTACCCAAGGGAATAAAGCAATTCAGGACAAATCGACCAAGTGTAGATGTTCCATCCGATCGAGAAGAAGGATCCCAGCCATGGAATGGATCGAGTATTTGACTGGACCAGAGAAGCAGCTCATACAACCATCCAATCAAGTCATCCAACGAGACCGATCGAGCACCGTTAAACCGACTTTCTATTTTGTCTGCTAGTGTTTTAGGGCTATCTAAACTTGCTATAAAAAGGTTCTTTGCCTAATGACTTATTATCTAGAGTTGTATTAGGGTTTTTCTTCATTTTGCTTTAGAATTTCCAGAATCTTGTAAACTTCATATCTTTTGATCTATTGAGTATTTTTTGTTGCTTCTTTGTATTATTTTGCTTCTTTCTTAGATCTATCTAGTTATGCATGATTTAGAGGTTTCTGGGTTTGAGTTCTTAAGTATGTTTGTTAGATCTAAGTAGATTCCTTAGGTTTTGGGATGAGTTAGATGTGTAGGTGGAGAACTTTAGGTAGCTAGGTTACCCATAGGTAGAAATGTTTAGATTTCCTTCTGGATTAGTGTATATAACACTACTCCCATTCTGATCAAGTGGTGATTAGTTCTCAGGTTTCCACGCCCGAGAGGTGTTCGATGGAATGCCGGATAATCTAATACCAAAGAATTTCATGTCTAGTCCAAGAGATTGGTTGTCTAGAGTGTTATTTGACATTAATGAGTTGAGTCTTAATGCTTATTCATTTCATGTTTCATCAACCAGAAGTTGAGATTAGGAAGTGATTTCAATTTGATAGCCTTTGTCAAGAGAATGAACTTGTTAGCTTATGAGCTTGTTGTCTAGGAAACAACATTGTTTGTGTTTGATTGATTTAGCAACCTAGTGAAGTTAAAAATCTCCACTGAAATCACCATCTCATCCCCAAAATCCCCCTTTAATTGATTGATTTACCTTGCTTCATTTATGTTCTTGCATTTCTAGTTCACTGCATGTTCTTATTTTGTTAGTTTCATTTCTGTTTAAATTCATTGTTGTGTCTTGCTTAGTTCATGCTTGTGTTAAATTCAGTAGTTGATAGTTTAAAACCTTTCATGCTTGGCTTAACTTGTTAAATATTAATTGCATCTAAACTGCTTGCACGCGTCCTTATGGATCGATAAAGCCCTTTATACTGCAATTATATTGGGTGATTGATACTATTCGCAGTAAAAACTTGTTATCAATTTGGCGCCGCTGCCATTTGGACGTTTAAGTTGTTCCAGTTTAGATTTCAATTTAGCAAGATTAAGTTCTATAACATTTTCACTTTGAATACTGATTTGTTTTGCTTGTTTACTTGTATGTCTTGCTTTTTAGGTACCATTCGATCAAGCAATCTACCAGCACTCGACTGGTCCAATCGGTTGCCTTGATCGAGCACCTGTTCGATTCCTTGTATGCACACAAGGTCTAAAGGCAGTCAGAATCTTCTCAGGTATCTCGACAACATCGATAGACTTCTGAAAGCGTTGAGACAGCACAGAGATCAATTAAGCAAGGATACAATAGACATTGAGATGGAACCTCAACAGAATGGGAATTAGAGGCGTGCAACATGCGTAGGTGCAGGAGATGCTAATTATAGCCATATCCAGAGGTCCAAGATAGTACTGCCAGCTGTTCAGAATAATAATTTTGAAATCAAGAATAGCCTCATATCCACGGTCTAGAGCAATAAGTTTCACGGTTTACCAATGAAAAACCCATTGAACCACTTGGATGAGTTTGACCGCCTTTGTGGTTCAACCAAGATGAACAGAGTAAGTGAAGACGAATTGAAGCTTTGTCTCTTTTCTTTCTCACTCGGAGACAAGGCTCATCAATGGGAAAAAGGTTTGCTTGTTGGTTCTATAACCACTTGGGAGGAATGTAAGCGTGGTTTCATGTCAAATTCTTTTCCAACTCCCGCACAGCCCGTCTTAGGAATGAAATCTCAAGCTTTGCCCAGAAGAACATCGAGTCGTTGTGTGAAGCATGGCAACGAATCAAGGGATACCAATCTCAATGCCCACACCATTGGTTCACTAAGGAGTCCCTACTCATCACACTAAATAGGGGCGTGCTTCCTAAGATCCGCATGTTGCTCGACACCGCAAGTCATGGAAACTTCTTTAACACAGATGTGGTTGAGGGATGGCAGCTGGTTGAGAACCTTGTCCATTCTGACGAGAATTACAATGAGAAGTATGATAGAACCAATAGGGGAAGCTCAAACCATGAAGAGAAGTATAAAAAGGACTTCAAGTCTTTGAGTGATAAGATTGATATGATACTCATAGCACAACAGAAGTATGTTCACTTCTTCTCCGGCGAGGAGCAATTCCAGCAAGAAGGGGAAGATAATGGTACCAAGGAAGTTAGTTACTTGAATCAAGGAGGATTTCAAAAGGGTTTCATAAACTACAAGGTAAATTCCAACCTCTCCTACAAAAGCACAAACGTAGCAAATCTTCAAGACCAAGTCTACCCGCAACAATAACAGCAAGCTCAGAACAAGCCTTTTGTTCCCTTCAATCAACAACAAGGATTTCTCTCCAAACAACAATTCCAGCAAGTTTACTCCGCACCTTCACCGGGTTTTCAACCCCAGCAAATGGCCTCACCACATGATATTGACTTGAAGATAATGATTCAACAAATGGTACAAAGCCATTCAAAACCAAATGACATCAAATTACAATGACCTCAATCTGAAATGCGATGTTATATCCACCCATGTAACATCTCCACTTCGTTTGGTAAGCTACCAGGAAACTTTATTATCAACACCAAAGAGTTTGCTTCTACCCATGTCATTACTTTACAGTTCACTGAGGACAGTGAAGATCAAGTTGGGGGGGATTTTATGCATATCGACCAAGCAATCGACCAGCCAATCGTGTGCTCAATCGAGTGCCTAGTCGAGTGGCTTCCAACATTCCCCAAATAGTTGCATCTCAGGTTAAGACTCCAATTTTCTGAGAACCACTACCATTTCCAAGAAGATTCAAGGCAAAGATCAAGGAAGAATGCAATAAGATCCTTGACTCTCGAACTAGGCATGAACAGGTAGCTACTCTAGTTGAAGCATTTGCTTATTTTCCAACCTACAAGGTTATTCTAAAAGAGGTTCTTCTCGAGAGGATTCATAAGAACGGTACAGAGAATTAGGGTTCTCAAGAGATCACCACAGTCAACATACCACCCCAGCTTGAAGACTTAGGAGATGACTCCAATCAAAGAAGTGATGAATCTCATCGAGCATGTTGTGTGTTTGAATGGACGAGTGAGTTAGCTTCCGACAAACCTTTTTCGTTCCATCATAGATGTTAGTCCAGAACCTTCATCCCGAAAGCCACTGTCTTATCTAGAGGAGCACAAGGCTGAAATCGAAGAAGAATATAACAGGATCCTTGACTCTCTAACTTGGAATGAGCAGCTGAAGGTCTTGGTTGATGCTTTGTAAATATCCCCTCCTATAGGGAAATTTTTAAGGAAGTGTTGCTCGAAAGAATGCAACAGAAGAAGTGATGGAACTCACCCACTCAATATCCAAGCTTTTCTAGAAAGATATGAGATCCTATAGCCTTCACGCTACCTTGTTCGATCAGATCGTCAATCTTTAACGAATGCCTCAATCATCTTTATGCCTCTTTTTATAGCACAACAAATATGATATAAGACGTTTACGCCTTGTAGCCTAACGGTTGTAATGGCAGATAGGAGTTCGAGACAACCCATAGGAGTACTAGAATACCTTCTAATAGAAGTTGCGGGAGTCAAAATCCCTACTGATTTCTTGGTATTGGAAATGGAAAGAGAGTTGCAATAGTAGTTAATCTTTGGAAGACCTTTCCTAGCTTCAGCGGGTATGGTGATTGACGTAGAAAAGGGAACCATGAGCCTCGATCTTAGAAGAGGAACAAAGATGAAGATCAACATGGCAGATCCATATCGAACTACGATGATTGGAACAGAAGAAACCTTGTCCTCCTCTCCCACCTACATGGAACTCCAAGTTATCAAAACTCTTAAGAAGGACTTGATGAGACTTGCAACTACCATTCAAAATATGGGTAAGCAAGTTGTGGAGCTAATAAAATGAGGAACCATATCCTAACTTCAAGGAAGGCTAAGAGGGTTCTGAGTTTCAAAAAAAGTAATGCTATGTGAAACAGGTCTAAAGTTTATTGGTCATTGATGTTGGAGAGGATCACCGAGTCTCTCCACTGTCCTATTCAAACTTGAGGAGCTTGGAAAGTTAAGCTCAGTAACTTTAAACAAGCTCACTTGGGAGGAAGTACGAGTGGTATCCTTGTAAATAATTCCTTACTTTTAATGTTAATTTCTTTTGCTTTTCTATTTGAGTTTCATGAATTTGTTCGACTATGAGTTCTGGTTCAAGAAGGTGGAATTCAATCCAATAAATGATATAGTCAGATCGAGTGGGTATTTGAGAGTCATTAGGCCCATAAAAGAAAAAATTCGACCCACCAAAATCCTTGCACTCGATTGATTAAGCCCTATCCGATCGGATCCATTTAAGTCCCAAAATCGAGCAAGTTATGACCAGTGCCACTTCAAGACCATTTGAGGCCCATCTGATCACACAGTTGATCCAGAACACGACCCGGCCCAACCGTTTCCTTACCCGTTTACTTACCCGATTTTGCCCTATCTTCTTCCCTTATAACTACAAACTCGATTCTCCTCCTCCGAAAGAACAAATTCGCCGTATCACTCACCTCACCTCCATTGTTGACGATTTTCAAGCTTCACCACCTAGTTTCTGGGTTAAGTGCTTAAAATTCATTTTCTTCCTCTTCTTAAGGCCAAAATCGAGTTCAAGCTCTCAAGAAACTTCAAAGAACTCGATTTGCTACTAACCCATTGAATTTTAGCTTTGAGTTTTATATTTTCAGTGAAAGAATGAAGAAGAATCAAGAGAAGAAGAAGGTTAAGAAGAGCTCTCACACTCGATCCTCTAGGGCTAAAATTGATTTTGATTCTTCATCCCAAGCTCAACAACAAGGTTTCATATCAATGGAGATTGATGGAGAAGAACTTACAGCAACTCGTTTGGCTACACGACCGAGCAATCGACCGGCCAATCAAACTACACGATCGAGTGCTCGGTCGAGCACATCATCATGGTCTGCAAAGAAAAAAATCGAGTTTGAATAGCTTGATGGTGATGATTCTGATGATGAACGGGGTGATGCCAGAGCAAATGTTAAGTTCTCAAGGGCAAGAGGGCTCATCTCATTGGGGAAGAGACCTGCTAGAGAGTCTATGGTTGAGGAAACCGAGGAAGATGTAGAAGAAGAGAAACCAATGCAGGGAAAGAGAGAGTTGAATCCTGAGGAACTTTACAGAATCTTCAAGGAGATGTACTTTCAAGAACTCGTTTCCCACATAAGGAGACAAAGGTTAAGTTGGGATTTACTAGAGAGTATTTATTTGAGATGATTGGTTTGGCTGACTTTATGAAGATGAACACAAAAACGTTCGAGCAGGAAACTTGCTAGTTTTTGAGTTCTCTGTAGGTTCAATTCTATGATGAGTTTGCTGAGAGGTTTGTGGAGTATGGTTTAGGCTACATCACATTCACAGTTAAAGGTCGAGAGAAGAGGCTTTCATTCAAGGAAATCAACACGCTTTATGGGTTCAAGACTGTTTCAGGGATTAACCAGCGAATTCATAAGGGGAAGTTGAGAGTTCTATGGGCAACAATTGGAAACAATGAAGTCTATGCTTCAACAAAGACTAAGAGTGCTCAAATCCGCAGTCCAATGATCAGGTACTTGCATAAATCGTTAGCTAACACATTGTTTGCTAGAAGAGAAACTGAAAACTTGAACGAGGGGAAACTTCTGATGATAGATATTTCTTTGGGTGGAGTAGTACTAGGAATGGAACGGTTCTAGCTGGTGATAGGGATAATTGCAATCTCACATTTGTGTTGCTAGATCAGTTTATGTACTATAAAGATTGGGCAGCAAGAATGCATGTTAGAAGTTCTAGAGGAGAGAACTCTGCATAGGAGGTATTAGTACACCAATGCTTGTGGCGTGTGATGTGGATTTGTTGGGAAGAGTACACAAGCCTACGTTCATTGATATAGATTACTTGAAGAGAAACCGCTTCATTACTCATGAGAATGTGGGAGGAAGGTTTCTGTACAAGTTCAATCATCCCTCCGCTGGACCTTCTAGGATTATTCTTCCAAATGCAGACGTTACCACGATAAGAACGGGTTTGAACATTGACTTTTGGCATGCCACTCAGCTTTTGTATGCTTCTGCTAGTTCACAAGTTGTTCATGAGGAGAGTCAAGGGGCTGATGTGGGTATTGATATTATGGATGAGGATAGTTCATAAGGTTTTCACTTCGAAGAGACTCAGGGAAGACTAGCTAGTCTTAAAGATGCTCACAAGAAGATCAAACTTCTTCAGAGGTGGAATAAGTTTCAAGATAAGACATTTAAGGCATTGAAGAAGTCAGTTAAGGACATAGGTGCCCATATCAAGGATTAAAGCACTAAAGATTTTTTCGCTTTATCTTTGATTAAAGCATTATAGATTTTTTTTTGGTTCCATTTTATCTTTCTTATTTTTTAATGTTATTTCACAAATGCTTTTATCGAGTTGGTTTGAAAATGTTGATTTGATGTAGATTTGTGTTGAAAATATTATAGGAATAACGCTTCATTACATTTGCTATATCATTAAAAAAAAACATGACTAACAAAGATGGAAAATCTAATAATTTTTGAATCAAATCCATCAACCAAAATCTCTTAGTTTCCCTATTTTTAATTTTGATAGATTGCAATTAACAAATTCTTAAAAAAATTGGTATATATAGCTTCAGTAAATGACTATCAATGTAATCCAAAACTAAGGTAAAACTAATATGACAATTACATACTTTTGACTGTATTTATGATTAGCTATTGTATTTAATAGTAATTTTGATTTGTATTGAGTGCAAATTTTACCGGAGAAAACCTAGCTTCTATATAGCCATTGGAGAATTAGCA